ATATTTGTAGCTACTAAAATAAAAAGACTGATTCTAAAAATAAATCCAAAATAAATCTTTTTAATCTAGCATTTATTGCCTCAATTCCTTGTGAATTGGTTTCCTTACTTTTATCCAAAAGTAATATATTAAGCCTTTGCCTTAATTCAAAAGAATTAGATTATTGTTCAAAGTTATATTTCAAAACATCTTTGTCTTAATTCAATAAAAATAAATAAATATAATAAATATAATTATTCATTGTAATCTAGTAATAGGTTATTTAAGAAGAGAAGTCCAAGTAATAAAAGAATATCTAAGAGAATAAAAAGAAACAACTTGTTTTCAAATAAAGTTGGAGAGAATAGTAATGAACTAAGAAAGACTAGTCCATAGCGCTAATAGTGGTTGATAGGAAGAATCTTGTAGTCCTTTTGTAAGAGTAAGAATAGTAAAGATATTTGTTTTACATTGTTGCAAGAATTGTTGTCTCTGTTGTTGTTGCTTTAAAACTCTTTTGTGTTGTCTCTTTTTCCAAAAATAATAACCTTTTGGTATTTTGTTTTTAAAAAAAAATATCATGATAGATAAGAAAATAATAATATCAAGTTATATATAAGGTCTAAGAAGGTGAAAAGAAAATAAACTTGAAGAAAAAAAATTAAAGTGAAGTAAAAATTTAAACAAAATAGAAAAATCAAAAATTCAAGATATTGGTATTATACTAAGAGAGATTGTAACTTAGGAAGAAAATGTAAAGAGACTCTTTACAAATCTAAAAAAGGTTAGAACATCAAAAATGGTCAAGTAGATGCCAAGATATTAAGGATTAAAGTTTGTATAATAATATTTAGAAAAACAAAATTTTGAAGAAATTTATAGTAAAGAAAAGGGAGTGAAAACTTTGATGATTTTTAAAGAGACAGAGAAGCATTTTTATATGAAGCAACCTATATACCAAAAGATAGGAGATGTTTTCAAGAATGTAAAGAAGGTGAGATTTTTAAAATAGGATTAATATTTGTAGAGTTATTAAAGAAAATAAAGCTAACTAATAAGAAATAAAATTTTTTAAAAAAATAAAGAAAATAAGAAAGAACAAAGAAAGTAGAAAAGAGAGAAGATAATGTACAATTAAAAATAAATATTCTAATAAACTAATAATAGGAATAAAATAGTTTTTATCAGAGTTTTTAATTTATTTCTACTAAGAATTTTGGTTTGCATTTCTCTTAGAATTTTATATCTCTTTCTACCAAGAATTTTTGCTTTCCATCAAGAGGCACCAAATATTACAGTATTGTGGCCTTTTTAACAGCAGTACTATAACAATAACATGGCTACAGAGATTCTTCACAGGTTTATAGTGGTGTCTAACAGGTAAGTATAATTTCTGCTTCTTGGAGAAACTATACTCTTCTGTCTGTAGCAGTTCGGGCAGACAATAGTTTATAGATAAAATATATGTTTATTAAAGATAAATAAGATAGGCTATCCTTAGATTTCTATTCCTAAAGAATCCTATAATATTACAAGAGAGAATTTAGAGAAGAGGGAAGTGGGGTAGACAATAACAAGTCTGTTGTTATTTCAGGTCTAATGTTAACTTGGGGAAATTTACTGCTTTTTTATATCTTTAGAGCTAATTGCTAATCGTTGCAGCTAAGTGTAGTTTTCTTAGTGCTAAGCGCTAATTGTAATCGCTAATCGTTAAGCATTAAGCGTTAATCGTTAATCACTAATCGTTAAGTATAATTACTAATCGCTAAGTGTAATCGCTAATCGCTAAGCGTAATTACTAAGCGTAATTGTTAATCGCTAATCACTAAGTGTAATTGCTAATCACTAAGCGTAATCGCTAATCGTAAATTGCTAAGCGTTAAGCATTAAGGCTAATCGTTATACATGTCTTTTAAATTCTTCTCCAAGATAAATATAATAATAACTAATAACTAATAAAATACAAATATCGAAATAATAAAATAATACTAAGATAAAATAATAAACTAATAAAATAAAACTGTTTTATAACAGTATTTATTTGTATACTTACGTGATGCGTGTATATACACATAGTGTATACTTAGAAATTTTCATTTGAATATATTAATTTTAGAAAATTCAAATATATTTGAATAAATTCGAATATATTTAAATAAATTCGAATAAATTCGAATTTTATTTAAAAATGTAATTTTAGAATATTTACTAACTTTTAAAATTTTAGCTTTTAGAAAAATTTAGATTATTGCAAAGTACATTGACTATCAAGATTAAGGCTTTAATGTTTTCAGTATATGAGAATCTTTTAGATCCTATTAACAACAAAGCAATATATAAGGAGATAATTAAATAGAAACATTCTGATAAAACTGTATTCTGTTTTAAGTGACTTTTTGTTAAAGTTTTTAATAATTCTGAGGAAACTTATATGTTGCTAATTTTAAACAAAATTTGGCCTTCTGGAAAAACAACTAATGAAAAGGTTGCATATGCAATTGCTGTTTGTCAAAATATTTTAGATCTGAAGCAAGACAATTTAACTATTTCAGAGAGCATAATTAAAAATAAATTAGCAAAAAATTTGGTAAGTTTTGTTATAAGAAATTTATTTAATATAATTATATATAGATTTAGAATAATTAGATTATAATTGATAAAATGATTTAATATGTTAATTTATTTAAATATATTCGAATTATTTAGAAAATATTAGAAAATAATAAAACGTTTTCCCCGCCTGATTCTGAAGATGAAACAAGCTTTGAAGAAAGCGACAATTCAGAAGATTCCAATAAAGTATATATATATATTTTAAATAAATATTAATTTATTTATCAGTAACAAATATTAATTTACGATATTAGAATAAAGGCAAAAAATGTGCAGAAAATTCGTAATCATCCGAAGAAATATGTATATAATTACAAATATAAATTTTTATTAAATTTATTTTTATTAAATTTAATATAATTAAAATTTTTTTAGGCAAGAAAAAGGCCAAAAGAAGGTAAGTATTATTAAATTTTAATATATAATTAATATAACTATAAAACATTATTATATTTTGAAAATATCTAAAACTTACAAAAATTTTAGATATTATCGACGAAGAGCAAGAAATTAAAGATGATTTGTAATTTTTTTTTTATTCAAATAATGTTACTTTTTTCTTTTATTTTTTTTTTTAGAAATTTGGAAATTTTGTTTTTGTTTTTTTTTATTTTATATATATATATATATTTTTTTTTTTTTTTTTTAAAAGTGAGGTCTTGCCTCAGTTTCTTTATTGAAATTTAATATATGTAGTACATCTAAATCTTACATGTACTGTAGTAATACATTAATTCTACCGAAACTAATGCTTAGGCTAATTTACCTACGACTCATACTTTGCTAAGTAGGGCCTAAACCTCACCTAGTCTATGATGCTGTCTATAATTGATGATGATGTTTTATTTTGTTGAAAGAGCAGAGACCACTTTTCAAACTTCTTTTTTGCTTTTTCGTTTACGGTATCTTGGTTTGGTTGTTCGGTACTTGTATCTTTTTTCTGTTTTGCTGTTTCGATTTTGTTATTTTTGTTTGTTGTGTTTTTTTGTCTTGTTTTTTCTTTGTTTTGTCTGGCTCTTGTCACTTCTTTGCATCTGTGAATCCAGATTTCTTTATGTATGTTGCTTGTTATCTTATGTGATACATGGCAGAAAAAGTTATGTTTTCCTTTATATTGGTCTCCAATTTTGTTGACTTTGTTAATGACTTCTTGTGTTGCTATCGTGGTTAATATTGGATTTACGTCTGTTATCTCATCAATCTTTGGTTTATATATTTGTAACATCATTTGTAGATTAGTTTTAGTGAGTATCTTTTGTTTTGTTAACACTTTTGTTATCGTCATTGCTATAATTTGTCTATTTGTTTTGTATTTTTCTGGCATATTAACCAATGAGTGTTTGTTTCTTGATCTTTTTAGTGAGTATCTTTTGTTTTGTTAACACTTTTGTTATCGTCATTGCTATAATTTGTCTATTTGTTTTGTATTTTTCTGGCATATTAACCAATGAGTGTTTGTTTCTTGATCTTTTTTGCATCTATTGCATATTCCTGTTGTGTATTTTTTAGGGCAGCGTTTGTGAAGGTTTGCTTCTACTGGAAGTTTATCTAATAATAGCTTTATTTTGAAGGCTTTTATTTGTGAGTATTTGGGATTGGTATTTCTTGATGTTGGACTTTCGTTGTAATTTATATAGTTGTAGAATTGTTTCCTGTCAATACTCTCTCTGATCTTATCCCATTTACTATTTCTATTCTGTGACTACCACTTTGCTATATGTTGTGTGTTTTGAATGTATCGTATAAATCTTCTTGGTGAATGTTCAATCGTTTTCCTTTCCAGCTTATTGTAAATATATCATTCCTTATATTTGTATATATAATCTCGGTTTGGTACAGGCTTGTATTTGTTTTCAGTCTTTCTAAATGTTGGTCATATTGTATTGCCCATGGAATGTTTTTTCTTGCTGCTAATGCTTTGAATATTAACCAACCACTTCCATTATTTGTTCGTAGCAGTTGGGTTATGTTGTAGGTTGGTGTATTATTTATTATACTTGCTATGCTTGTTGCGTATTTGTAATTACACAGTATGTTTATCTTTGCTCCATAAGGTACTGCTAGTAGTATGCAAGATAGTGCGTTACATAATATTTTTTGATCAGATGGCCAGGTACTTGTCGTTTGGTAGAATTGTATTTCTTTGTTTCTTGTCTACCAGTGTGCTGTTGTCTTTGGTATATTCCCAATTATATCCGTTTGTATGCTTAATGCTATATCGATATTCTTTAGTTGTTGGCTACTCATTTGCTTGTGAATGTTCAATATTGTAAGTTTTGTTTCCATATCTGAAAGTGTTTTGTCAATATTGTTTAGGTTTGTTCTTAGTAATTTGGTTGTTGATATTGGTGTTGTTGTCTTTTTGTTGCTTGACAAGATAGACTTATTTGTTGCTACAGCATTTTGTAGTTGTTGCAATCTTATTTTGAGAGAAGATGTGTTGAAGAGAGGGTGGTTGAGTAAATAACTCATTATTGATATGTATTGTTAAGTCTGTATGTCTTCTACCGTTCTAAGACTATATATTTTGTGATGATGCATTGTTGAGTTTGGTATGCTGGATGCCAGGCCTGCTTTATGTTTTATTATATTTGTATAACTGTTTGTAATTTGTTTGCATGTTGAGGGTGCCAAGGTAGTGTTTTGTATTCGGTAGGCAATTCTTGTGAGAATTACTGTGTTGACTATGTATATGGCTTGCTTGTCAGTGATTCTGGCTCGTCTCATCCATTTTAGTGCGTTTGTAACCTCTTCTTTTATAATTTTGTGTACTGGTGTATGTTTTTTTACCTGTTGTATACCAACAGCCAAGGAATCTGAAGCTTGCTTTTGTATCTATTGCCTTTATTGTTGTGTTGTTAAATTTTATCTCTGGGCTTGGTGATTTTGTTATTGCTGCGAGTACTGATTTCATTGGGTTCATCTGAATATTTGTTAACTGGTAGAAAGTCGTTGCAGTATTTACGATATCTTGTAGTTGCTCTTTTGTTGGTGCAATCTATAAGGTATCGTCCATATACGCCAGTACCGAGTACTTTGTTTGAATCTTTGTGTTGTCAGGTGCTTCAATGTTAGTATATGACTTGAGTATGTAACCGGTGTGTTGCTTTGATATTCTTGTTATTAGAGGATTATAGTAGATCCTCCATAATAGTGGTGCTATCGTCTCCACTTGATCTATTCCATCATGTACTGGATATTTGTTTGTATTCCCTAGATTTGTAATTACATAGTTTGATCTGTCTGTAAATATTTCTGTAATCAGTGCTATAATGCTATTGGGTATCTTTAGTCTTTGTAGTGCCATTTTAAATAATGGTATATATACCAAATTGTATACTTTTGACATATCTTGTGATAGTAACCACAGTTGTTCTTTGTTTGTATGAGCATCTTCTATTATATGTGAAAGTGTTTGAATGAGTATCATTGTTGATGTATTTGGCAGTGCTACATAGTTGTTGATATTTAGTATTGGATATTGTGTACATATCGTGCTT